GTGGGTAAACAAATGAGCTTATGCTTTAATATTTTTCACATGCTGGGCAGCTTTGATACTTTAGTCTGATTATATATTAATTATGTATTAGTGATTATATATTAGTAAAGGATATATTTAGCTGAATCAAGCCTCACATTGCATCGCGTTCTTCTTCTGGGAATACAGATGAGCTCAGACGGGAAAGACTGTACAGTAGGCTGCCTCTTGTTGGATTTAGGCTATACGAATTAAATAAACACAAATCTGTTTTCGATTGTTTTATTTAAGCAGACCTTTAGACATAAGATGCTCCAGAAAGCGCTCACTGATATTTTTACAAAGGCAATTTGTAGCGTTTTGTTGTTATTGTGGAAGTATAGAAAATAAAGCAGACATTTCTTTCCTCTGTTATTGTGTAGCCTAAGAGATCTCGCCGGCGCCGCCGAACCAAGAAGAGCAGTGTTGTGCTTCATATGAGATGTATATCTGCAAGAAATATAGCCTATACAACAGCCAGGGCTGCGTTTCTCGATAACGACTGATCTTAGCACTTATGAGCGTTTTCTACGAGTCATTTTACGATCGTTCGCTATTGTTTCACGTGCGTTTCCCAAAAATGCACTTAATGCAGTCACGCTTTTAGCGCCATCTGCTGTCAGAGAGTGAAAGTGCGCTTTCATCCAGAGCGTCTCTCACATGTTCCGCTTGTTTACATCAGAGTGCGCACGCGTCTTTCACGCAGCATACAGCGGTGTTGTGCATTTTGACCAGTTGATGGGAAAAGTATTCTTAATTCATTCAAAATTCTAAATCATTTGTAATATATAATTATTCACGGTATTTAGAAGTGCCCTCGATAACAATATCGTGCATATTCATTACCGTGATATATCGCATTAGGCTCAAGTCTACATTGCACTTGAATAAACACTCCTGCAGGTGACTGCATAAATCTGTCTTTTTACAATGCACTTAGGGCTTTACGATTACTCCAGAGCACTCGTATATCTACGATGATTTTCAAGTGCTACTTAAGTTAAGATGCTTTTGGGAAACAGACCATAATATTAAAGGGGTCATATTATGCTTTTTTAAAGATCATTATTTTGTGTATTTGGTGTAACTGAATATGTTGACATGCTTTAATGTTCAAAAAACACATTATTTTTCAAATACTGTACATTATTGTAGGTCCTCTATGCCCCGCCTCTCTCAAACGCTTCGTTTTCTGCAAAGTGACAAGCGCAGTCTGCTCTGATTGGCCAGCTGACCCAGTGCATTGTGATTGGTCGAACACCGCAAGCACTCGTCGGAAATGTAACGCCCCTTACCATAATCGCCAGCTTCATCTTTCAAAATAAATGTAAAAACAACAGAGTCTCGTGACAGACACAGTGATGAAGCTGGTATGTGTTTGCAGTACACGATGTGACCCCTCTCGCTCTCTCTCTCGCTCTGTCTCGCTTGCTCGCTCGCGCACACACACACACACACACACACACACACGATGTGCTAAACTCCGCATTTGAACAGTCAATAGCAAATACTTAAACTAATAACAAAACAGTCGCTGATTCAGAAGCGCCAGATTGTCATAGCAAAGTCAGAATGACCTCCTCTCCTAGGTTCACGAAACGGTTGTCCATAAAATGCATTGCTGTTCTGTTGTAAGTAATCTTAAAGATTCCTTGTGGGGGTGTGTTAGAACGAGCCGCTTTAGGGTGGCGTGGCAGAGTCTTAACTTTGATAAAGAATATCTCTTTGGTTTTGAGACTTTAGTCTTTGCAACTTCAGGGATCTTATCTATGCACAATCAGCTTGTAACACTCCAAAGAGAAAGCAAAACTTGAAATCGCATCATATGACCCCTTTAAGATCAGTGTTCGATCGTTTTTACGAACAATTTAGGCTTACGAAGCTTTTGGGAAACGCAGCCCAGACAGTTCGAAGAAACGTTATTGTGAGTAATTTGCAGAGTGATACATGAGATGAACTCTTATTCTGTGTGATGGGATAGGCAGTAAAGTTTTGCAATCCGTCCCCTCAGTTTATAAACCGTACTCACGAATTCTTAATCTGTTCCCTCGGTTTAACAAATCGTGCCCACCGATTAATAAACCGTTCCCACGAATTTCCAATCCATGCTCAGATTTTGTAAACCGTACCTTCGGATTCATAATCCGTGCGCACGCTTTCGCAATCCGTTCCCTCGGGTTTGTAAACTCGTGAACTTGTGGCCCCGCCCCCACCGGCAGACTCAACCACGGTGCGGGATGCATAGTATTGTGTTTATTAAACATTATTTTTCATAGTAGCCTATGAGACCATGATCCGCACTCACAAAATAGTCTTCTTTTTAGCGTTTATTTTATATTAATCTCCAATAGGATAAAACAACTCTGCCTGTGTTTTATAGCCTAAAATAAACGCTAAAAAGAATAGAACATTTCCTGAATTTTCTTAAAATAAAACGATAGAGTTTCGAGAGAAGAAGGTAAAAAGCAATACAAAACCAATAATGTACCGGTTATGTTGTCATTCCTTTGCTCTCTAACTGAATGCAATGTTATAATAGGCCTAGTTATTTAATAATAACTTTAACAGTGAAGCATGCATCTAACTCTGGGG